TCGCAGGCTTATTTCTATACTGCCCAACTTTACTAAGGAACAAATTAGTCATCATTAGTCAAAGGTGTGCTAAATGTTGAGCAGCATTGTAGTTATAGATTAGGTGTATGTTGACTATTTTATCATTGTTTATTAGTTGAGCTTACGAGACCAAAGACACATTTAATAGACTCGTGCTTCAGACTATTCAACTGTCTTATGCTGTTGTAATTGCATTTCTGAGCGACAATCGTTGTAAACGATGTAAATTACATATAACAAGGAATAAAAAAATCATGAGATGTTCTTGTCAGCCTCCGTTTAGGAGATGTTCTTGTCAGCCTCTGTTTAGATGTTCCTTTCAGCCTCTGTTTAGGAGATGTTCCTTGCAGCCTCTGTTTAGGAGATGTTCCTTGCAGCCTCTGTTTAGGAGATGTTCCTTGCAGCCTCTGTTTAGGAGATGTTCTTGTCAGCCTCTGTTTAGGAGATGTTCTTGCAGCCTCTGTTTAGATGTTCCTTTCAGCCTCTGTTTAGGAGATGTTCCTTGCAGCCTCTGTTTAGATGTTCCTTTCAGCCTCTGTTTAGGAGATGTTCTTGTCAGCCTCTGTTTAGGAGATGTTCTTGTCAGCCTCTGTTTAGATGTTCCTTTCAGCCTCTGTTTAGGAGATGTTCCTTTCAGTCTCTGTTTAAGTCCTATGTTATTACACCTGGTGTCGTCACTGTTATGTCCGGCCTCCCTCTACCACAGGATTAAGTCCTGTGTTATTTTATCTGGTGTCATCACTGTTGTGTCCGGCCTCCCTCTACCACAGGATTAAGTCCTCTGTTATTTTATCTGGTGTCATCACTGTTGTGTCTGGCCTCCCTCAACCACAGGATTAAGTCCTATGTTATTACACCTGGTGTCATCACTGTTGTGTCCGGCCTCCCTCAACCACAGGATTAAGTCCTGTGTTATTACATCTTGTGTCATCACTGTTGTGTCCGGCCTCCCTCTACCACAGGATTAAGTCCTCTGTCATTACATCTTGTGTCATCACTGTTGTGTCCGGCCTCCCTCAACCACAGGATTAAGTCCTATGTTATTACATCTTGGATCGTCACTGTTGTGTCCGGCCTCCCTCAACCACAGGATTAAGTCCTCTGTAATTACATCTGGTGTCATCACTGTTGTGTCCGGCCTCCCTCTACCACAGGATTAAGTCCTCTGTTATTTTATCTTGTGTCATCACTGTTATGTCCGGCCTCCCTCAACCACAGGATTAAGTCCTGTGTTATTACATCTGGTGTCATCACTGTTGTGTCCGGCCTCCCTCTACCACAGGATTAAGTCCTCTGTTATTTTATCTGGTGTCATCACTGTTGTGTCCGGCCTCCCTCAACCACAGGATTAAGTCCTGTGTTATTACATCTGGTGTCATCACTGTTGTGTCCGGCCTCCCTCAACCACAGGATTAAGTCCTGTGTTATTACATCTGGTGTCATCACTGTTATGTCCGGCCTCCCTCAACCACAGGATTAAGTCCTGTGTTATTACATCTGGTTTCATCACTGTTGTGTCCGGCCTCCCTCTACCACAGGATTAAGTCCTGTGTTATTACATCTTGTGTCATCACTGTTGTGTCCGGCTTCCCTCAACCACAGGATTAAGTCCTCTGTTATTACGATGCAGAAATACTACAGAGCAAAATCATCAACAGTATTTTTTGTTATGGTGAGGTGAAAATCAATAACGTGGTGTATAAGACGGGGCCTTGCTAGCGATGGTGCTCTCTATGGGAGGTTGTTTCCAGGAAGGCCAGTGAGATGAGGAAGTGCTATGTTTGGATTTGCTGCCTACGTGGGCTATATATAGATGGAATATTGATCACAGACAGGCTGAGATACTCAAACATACGATCACAGAGGTGCACGTGATCACAGAGTTTGGTCACATGATTGTTGTGGTGCACATGTGATCACTTTTGTTCACATAATGACAGCAGCGCATGTGGTCACAGATGTTCACATGTGATCTCAGAGTTTGGTCACATGATGCTTGTAGTCACAGTGATCACATGTACACCTCAGTGATCATGTGACCAAACTCTGTGATCACTTGTCACCATCTGTGATCACCAGAATTTGGTCACATAATCCTTACCGAAGTGATGCATGATCAATACTAGTTTTTTGTTCCACCCCTAATGGCTTCTGAGCCCCTTTTTTTTGAAGCAACCCATGCATGATGTGAAAGGCGGGATAGGGTGGTCAGGCTCGCTGACTTGGTTGATGCATGTCATCATATCCTAATTGCGTAGATCAATGCTTATGATTTCTATCACCATGATCACTGGATTGTCTGGTCCAGACACGATTATTTGCAGAACACAATAATGTAGCTGAAATATTGCGGAGTGTAAAACAAACAAACAAACAAACAAACAAACAAACAAACAAACAGGCTCGCTAACATGGTTTATGCATCACAATTGCGTAGATCAATTATTCATGATGTCAATCACTGGAGACCTCCTCCGTGGTCTGGTGGTAGAGCGTCCGCCTGGAGAGCGGAAGGTCCGGAGTTTGATCCCCGGCCACGTCATACCAAAAGATGTTAAAAGATGGTACTTGTTGTTACCCTGTCTGGCGCTCGGCATTAAGGGGCTAAAACAAGGACTGGTCGGCTCGGAGTCAGTATACTGTGTCTGAGTGGGGTATTCATGTTAAACTGCGGCATGGTATCTCAGTGAGCTAGCACTATAAATCGGCATCAGTCCTGACTAGTACAAGCAGCCACACAAACACACACACGTGCATGCACGTCACTATATAAGTGCAATAATCTTGGACGCTACGATAAACCCCATTTCACCTCACCTCACCTCACCGTCAATCACTGGATTGTCAGTCCAGACTCCATTATTTGCACTCCAGCATCATATAGCTGGAATATTGCTGAGTGCAGCGTTAAACAACAAACATACAAACTGGGAGAATGCTGGTTGGGTGTATCAGTGCACTGAGTCAGTCTCCACTGGGGGATGTTGGATAGTGTGTACCATCTCCTGTTCCTCCTGGCTCCCGCCATTGCTCGAATGAATGCGGTATTGATTCAGTTAAGAGACATCTTTCACAGTTCTCTGTTGTGGACGTTTCACAATTTGGTGAGCTCTCCAGGAACTGATACTCCCAAACACACCGAGGCAGGCCGTGGTCTTGACCCAGTGCACATGCACTTGGCGTCAACACAACAGACAAGGGCAACATTAGCTATGAATGCAAGACCACTCATTCAAAGGTTCTAGGAGGTTCAAGGCATAGAAGGCTCAGGCTTGAAAAAGCCTTAAGTTTGAAAAGGTCTTAATGTTAAGGTTATGACATGACTAAGGGTTTGGTTGAAAATGTAAAGCCATGAGCTTGGGAATTGGAGTTATGTGTGGAAATACTGGAAAGAATAACATCATTGGGATACCTTAAGGTGAAACAATACATTAGTCACAGTATGACAGTGATGCAAGAGAACGATGATGTGCAGCATGCAGACAACTGAAGCCAGTGGCATGTCAGATTGAAGACCCTTTTATCTCCTGCCCTTGTGGATCAGTGGGTTACAATACTAAACATGATACGCGAGGTTGCAGGTTTGATTCTCGTTGTGGAATTTTCATGTGAAATAAATTGTGACTTTTAGCCAGACTAAAATCAGTGTTAGAGACATATTTATAGAATGATTTTACATCTTTGGTGATGTAACACTCTTCATGTAAGTTAGAAAGTCAAGGGCACTCTCTCAGAGTACAAGCAACTTGTTTGTGGACTTTCCACTATTTGAGGAAACCTTAAGAACAATATTCCTGACTTTTGTGCCATTGCTGGTCAGGTGACACAGGTCACATTCCAAGCTATTGTGCCATTGCTGGTCAGGTGACACAGGTCACATTCCAAGCTATTGTGCCATTGCTGGTCAGGGGATACAGGTAATATTTCTGGCTATTGTGCCATTGCTTGTCAGGGGATACAGGTCATATTCCTGGCTATTATGCCATTGCTGGTCAGGGGATACAGGTCATATTCCTGGCTATTGTGCCATTGCTTGTCAGGGGATACAGGTCATATTCCTGGCTATTGTGCCATTGCTTGTCAGGGGATACAGGTCATATTCCTGGCTATTGTGCCATTGCTGGTCAGGGGATACAGGTCATATTCCTGGCTATTGTGCAATTGCTGGGCAGGTGATACGGATTATATTCACCATGTTTATGTAATAATCAATGTATATACTTTACACAAGGTTATATTTGGAAATTATTGTGTGGCAGTTTTCATATCATACTCGATATCAACCTGAGACCCCTATATCAGCCATTTTATTATATACCACAACAGGGCTCCAGATAACTTTTGAGCAGTTGAGTCTTTACTCTAGGGTTTCTATTTTCATTGGGTAACCAATACTGTTTCACTCATCTATTCATCACTCTATAATTAGTGAACTTTTTCAGATTTAAAAAAACAACGGAAATAATGTTTTTGATATATAAAACTGTTTTAAATATATTGGCTTGACTCGGACAGTAAATCATCTCGTAATTGCGTTTCGGAAATTAGCTCTTTTGTACGCATGCTGGAAAAGCTCCATTGGGTATTTAGGCAAGCTGTTTTTATACGTTTGAGTTTTTCATTTAATGCATGTGTTTCTGTACGCAAGTTATTTGAAAGTAATTGGGTTTGGAATATGGAATATTTGAGTATTTTACACAAATATGGTGATTATCCTCAAACCATATTAGCGCTGGAAGGGGGTGCAGTACGGGTCTGGTTATTACACCCCCTGTGATATGACCATTTCGATGTTGGCTCAGGTATATGATAACAACAGAGACACCATACTGAATAGTTGGGGTGGTTATGCCATGTTATGACAGTTTATAAATGTTCTCCTTATTTTCAGATGCGTATAATGAGCCGTACCAAATGGTATATGATATAACTGTTTTGTCAACATTAGGTTTATTGTTTGTTTTTTCTTCTCATTGCAGATGTTGCAAAAAACTTTACACGCGAGCCACTTTCTCAGGAAGCTTTTGTAGGAGGCTCCGCTCGATTTGAATGCCGCATAGACGCTTTCCCTGCCCCAATCTTTAAATGGGAGAAAGCTCGCACAGATCTACCTCAAGATAGTGAAAAGTAAGTATCTTTGCAGGAATATCCCAGCAGTTGTTGGCTGTGATCCCCTTGTTTGCTGTGATCCCCTTGTTAGCTGTGACCCCCTTGTTAGCTGTGATCCCCTTGTTGGCTGTGATCCCCTTGTTAGCTGTGATCCCCTTGTTAGCTGTGATCCCCTTGTTAGCTGTGACCCCCTTGTTAACTGTGACCACCTTGTTAGCTGTGACCCCCTTGTTAGCTGTGACCACCTTGTTAGCTGTGACCCCCTTGTTAGCTGTGACCCCCTTGTTAGCTGTGACCCCCTTGTTAGCTGTGACCCCCTTGTTAGCTGTGATCGATCCCCTTGTTGGCTGTGATCCCCTTGTTAGCTGTGATCCCCTTGTTAGCTGTGACCCCCTTGTTAGCTGTGACCCCCTTGTTAGCTGTGACCACCTTGTTAGCTGTGACCCCCTTGTTAGCTGTGACCCCCTTGTTAGCTGTGACCCCCTTGTTAGCTGTGATCGATCCCCTTGTTGGCTGTGATCCCCTTGTTAGCTGTGATCCCCTTGTTAGCTGTGACCCCCTTGTTAGCTGTGACCCCCTTGTTAGCTGTGATCCCCTTGTTAGCAGTGATCCCCTCATCCATGTGGCCCAGCAGTTGTCATCCATCTGGCCCAGCGGTTGTTAGCTGTGATTACTTTATGCCTCATCCATGTATCTTATGGGTTTGAGTTCTGGTTCGCCCCAATTATGTTCTTAGGTTTGTCAGCACCATACCCGTGCTTGTGGGTTTCACCAAAGTGGTAAGCATCTGAAACCTGCATCTATTCCCGACATGGGTACAATGTGTGTTGCCCATTCCTGGTGTCCCCTGCCGTGATATTGCTGGAATATTGCTAAAAGCGGCGTAAAACCATACTCACTCACTCCCTCACTCATTGTGTTTCAGATATATTCTATTCCGCTCTGGAGTTCTTCACATAAACAACCTCACACTAGAAGATACGGGTCTTTACCGATGCATTACCTCTCATGGGGAACTACATACGCTCCCTGACGTCATTGACACCATACGCTGGCGCCACAGTCGAGAAGCTGCTCTCACAGTCAAAACGGGTAAGTTTAAAGGGAGACGACTCTGGACATTGTGGCTTGTATTCACCACTGATACACAGGTAAAGGGAGGTAACTCTGGACATTGTGGGTTGTATTCGCCACTGATACATAGGTGAAGGGAGGTAACTCTAGGCTTTGTGGGTTGTATTCACACCAAGCTCCTCACAGCGATATCCCGTTCGCAGAGCTGTCTATGCTATCGCTGCCACCAGTCAAATCTCCCCACTGTGAATAGGTGGCCCCAACCATGCTTGGAGTTGAACTGGCAACCGAATGACCGTTATGTTTACAAACAAGTGACAACTGTCGTGACGCCGAATACCCTTATTGCTGCTAAAGTACTTTCTTCGTTTGTCAATTTGAATTTCTGTTTCATTAAAACTATCGTGTTATTGATATAGTAAGAATGTAAGGGAGAAGTTGGTTAATTTTCCGTTAGTCTGCAATCTCGAACCAATCTGATTATCAAAACAACAAAGTAAATTCATCTGGAAAACATGGTCAGTCGTAAACCTTTTCAAATTGAAATATGATGGCATTCCCAAAAACATAAGCAAAAGTATAAATGTTACTAAATATGGGGTTGGGAGGGCAAATTTCAAGATTCTTGTAATGGCCGCGCCCACACTGGTGGCAGCGATGTTACCGAGAGTATAACGAAGGTGTCACACACTGGGAAGGAGCTTGCTGATACACAGGTAAAGGGAGGTAACTCTGGACATTGTGGGTTGTATTTGCACTGATCCAGAGTGCAGCAAATGATCAAAGGGAGATAACTCTAGTATACAGGATTTCCAGGAGGAGGATGCCTTATTTGGTTCATCCAACTATTTTAGCAATTTTTACTTGTGTCATCTATGATTAGCCTCATATGGGCATGGTGTGATTTCAGGCGAAGCAAGACGTAAACCAAGAATTATTGACGGCAACTTAAATGTGACAACGAAGACAGGAGAGACGGCCATCCTTGAATGCCTGGTCGATGGCTCTCCACTGCCCAATGTCACCTGGCATCGACAGGGTGAGTCACTGCTCGCGTTGAAAGCAAAATTACGGGAATATCTTATATATATGCGACCAGAAATGTATAACAAATTTGTAATTCAGCTATAAAAATCTAGCTATCTGATTCCAGTCGCTTGTTTGTAAAAACCCATAAAGACAGCTGTCTATAAGGATATCATCATAATATGATTGTTGATGTGACGTCGTCATGTGTCCTTGAGTTCATGCATCATGTTGAATGTTCAATTTTCACATTTGTACAATGTGTGGAGCCAATGTGTGGAGCCAATATTTGGAGCCAATATTTGGTGTTCCTGTCATTAATTTTCTGGAATATTGCCAAAAGCTTGAAAACCCTCACTCACCTAAATGTGGACATGTTTCAGATCGTAAATCCCTCATTTCTACTATGTGGGCCCATATTTGGTGTTTCAGTCATTAATTTGCTGGAATATTGTGCAAAACTTAAGAACCCTGGCTCACCTAATTGTTGCCGTGTTTCAGATCGTAAATCCCTCATTTCTACTATGTGGGCCCATATTTAGTGTTCCAGTCGTTAATTTGCTGGAATATTGTGAAAAACTCACCTAATTGTTGACGTGTTTCAGATCGTAAATCCCTCATTTCTACTATATGGGCCCATATTTGGTGTTCCAGTCGTTAATTTGTTGGAATATTGTGAAAAACTCACCTAATTGTTGCCGTGTTTCAGATCGTAAATCCCTCAGTCAGTATGTCTCCTATGTTGGACACAAGAACCTCAAGATCCGCTCTGTCCAAAAGGAGGATGCAGGGACGTACGTCTGCACTGCCAGTAGTCGGGGCTTCAAGGATGTCAGTGTCTACGTGACTCTCACTGTCAACAGTAAGTCATCATTACCATCTCTGTCTCCTCCCCCCCCCCCCCCCCTAATTGCCCATAATTAAGGGTGATATAACACAAGAGTGCGTATTATTCACGAATAAATAAGTCTTGTGTACATTGATCAATCGGAAGGGGTGCTGATTCGGATTGTTCACTCGCCAATATATTAGCAAATATCACCGTGGGCGCTTATTAGAGCGGGGCGCTTATTACGTCGAATACGGTGGTAACACTCCTTTCCGATTGATCAATGTACACAAGGCGTATGTATACCCTTAAAAAAAGTAGGAGATGCTCAGAAATAACTGAACATTTCCAAAACGGTCAACAGTTATCGTTTTTCTAATACTTGGTATTAATGTTTATATTTCATGATCCTCAACTTTTTTTAAAGAGTATATAACTAATAATTGGTGTATTTTGTGATACAGCAATTCATGGTCAGGTATGTAATATTCTTGAAAACATTCATCGAGTTAGTCCTAGTGTTGTTATTCTTTACTGTAAGTATGCCAAATATCCTATATCATTCCCGAATGTATCAATAAGGTACATAGCTGCCCTGGTGCTAGATCTGTGTATGGCTGCGGACAGACTCTGCAAGTGACCTTGACCTTTCAGTGTCCCCAATCATCACCACACCACCGCAGACCCAACGATGGCCACGGGCGAGGACTGTCATCCTCAAATGTGAGGTGGATGCGTTACCCGAGGCGACGGTCCGTTGGTACAGGGACGGAGAGTTGATCAAGCCTGGCCAACCCTTTGAGGTGAGTTTCGTCATAGAGTAGGGGGATACTTATTGGTGCACCTGAATCTACTCCAAATGACTGCACCGCAACAGGCATCATAAAAAAATTCTTAGTAATGCGACCCGTGAAGATTCCGGAATAGAATAGGTCTTCAGCAACCCATGCTTGCCGTAAAAAGCGACTATGCTTGTCGTAAGAGGCGACTAATGGGATTGGGTGGTCAGGCTCGCTGACTTGGTTGATGCATGTCATCGATGTCAATTGCGTGGATTGATGCACATGATGTCCATCACTGGATTGTCTGGACCCGATTCAATGATTTACAGACTGCTATCATATAGCTGGAATACTGCTGAGTAAGGCGTTAAAAAACAAACAAACAAACAAACAAATATTACTAATTCAGGTGAGCTCTAGAAAAAAACATGCAATAAGTATTGTTCAAAAGCATATTGCTGTGTACCAGTAACTGCTGCAGTCCTAGAAACATGTGTGTTCTGTGCATAAGTTATCCTCTATTCTTCTGCTTCAGTTCCGTTCGAGTTCTTTGGTCATCTACAACGTGGAGCTGAAGCATGATGGGTACTACCAGTGTATCGCAGAGAATAGTGTCGGGCGGGACACGGCCTTCGCCAGACTCGAGATCTTCGAAAACAGTAAGTAGAAGAGGAAGAAGAATACTGACACTCTGAGGGAATGTCAAGTGTAGATTAGCCCTAAACCAATGAGGGAATATCAAGTGTATTTCCACTGAATCCCTGAGGGAATATCAAGTGTAGATTGGCCACTGAACTGATGAGGGAATCATTGGGACAGAATAGCAAGAATATTGAATTTTGGTTATGTGGCACAGAATGCTGAATATCTGACCCTGGCCGGTTTGTGTATAAAACTTCACATGGGAGACGACCCGTAAAGATTCCGGGGTAGAATTGGTCTTCAGCAACCCATGCTTGCCGTAAAAGGTGACTCTGCTTGTCGTAAAAGGCGACTAACGGGATCGGGTGGTCAGGCTCGCTGACTTGGTTGATGCATGTCATCGGTCCCGATTGTGTGGATCGATGCTCATGATACTAATCACTGGATTGTCTGGTCCAGACTCGATTATTTACAGACCGCCATCATTTAGCTTGAATTTTGCTGAGTGCGGCGTTAAACAACAAACCAAACCGAAAATGTTATGTAGGTATGAGTGTTGTCATGTAGGTATCAGATTGGTTATTAAAATCAAATGGGAGACTGAATGTTTGTAAATCTAATAACTTGACAGCATGAGTGGCACTGAGTGTAATGTCTGTCTGATGTGTTGCAGACGGTTCCCCTAAGCCTCCACAAGGCTTGAAGGCTCACGCACTCACCAGCAAGAAGATCTTCGTCCAGTGGAACAAGTCGGAGTCACCGCCCGAACTGCCGATCCTCACCTACGTTGTGTCTGTTGTAGCCTTCAATGGTACGTAGTCATGCTTCCTGTCTCAGTCTTCTTGAACTTCTACATACCAGTGAAAGGTCTTGGTACTTAGATCATCTCGGCTTCTTACTACGATTTTACTACGATTGAGAGGTCTTGGTTCTCAGATCATCCCTCCTGTCTTGTAATCGGCTTCTTATCGGCAACAGTGAATAATACCCACTAACTCTCATGAGACGTGCTAAGGACATGTGTTCATGACATTCAGGGGTCTGTTCCACAAAGCTGTCGTAGTGCTAATGTGATCATAACTCCAATAGTTTGCAATAGACTTACAACAGTTCTTGAGCTAAGGTGATCATAACTCCTGTGCTTTGACATAGACTTATGGCAGTCGTTGCGCTAAGGTGATCATAACTCCTATACTTTGACAGACTTACGACAGTTGTGCTAAGGTGATCATTTTTCCTTTACTTTGTTATAGACTTACGACAGTCGTTGTGCTAATGTGATCGTAGCTTGCATACTTTGACATAGACTTACCACAGTTGTTGTGCTAAGGTTATTGTAGCTCACATACTTTGATGTAGACTTATGACAGTCAATGTGCTAAGGTGATCGTAGCTTGCATACTTTGATATAGACTTACGACAGTCGTTGTGCTAATGTGATCGTAGCTTGCATACCTTGATATAGACTTATGACAGTTGTTGTGCTAATGTGATCGTAGCTTGCATACTTTGACATAGACTTACCACAGTCATTGTGCAAAGGTGATCGTAACTCCCGTACTTTGATATAGACTTACCACAGTCATTGTGCTGTGATCGCTTTGTGGTACGGGGCCAGGTTTGTGTTACAGTGTACATTGTGTTGTGCAGGAGCGGAGGCGCTGGACACGGACTTTGTGATCGGGGAGGAGGCCATCCTGAACACGACCATGGACCAGCTGAAGCCGTTCACCAACTACTCCGTGTACGTCAAGGCCTTCAACAAGAAGGGGGCCAGCCCTCGCTCTGTCAACGTCAGAGTCCAGACACTTGAGGATAGTGAGTCGACTCCTTATTCAATCCTAGTTAGGGGCAGTCGGGTAGCCTTGTGGTTAAAGTGTTTGTTCATCACACCGAAGCCCTGGGTTTGATTCCCGACATGCGTACAATGTGTGAAGCCCATTTCTGGTGTCCCCCGCCGTGATAGTGCTGGAATATTGCTAAAAGCGGCGTTAAACCATACTCACTCACTCCTTTAAGTACAAGCTCAAGCCCACAATGCATTGCCTCACATGTTTAAAGCTCATTTCTGGTGTGCTAGAATATTGCTGGAATATTGCTAGAAGTGACGTAAAACCTCACTCACTCACTCAATCCTAGTTTTTACAAGTTGTGTAGTACAATATCATGTGAGATTAGGTTTATTTCCATTCTACAATGACTAAAGGGGCGGTCGGGTAGCCTAGTGGTTAAAGTGTTCGCTCTTCACGCCGAAGACCCGGGTTCGATTCCCGACATGGGTACAATGTGTGAAGCCCATTTCTGGTGTCCCCCGCCGTGATATTGTTGGAATATTGCTAAAAGCGGCATAAAACCATACTCACTCACTCACTCACTCACTACAATGACTAAAATGTGTTTTTAATTCGGACTATTTTTCCTGCACAATTCAATGCAGTGATTGTTGGTCCTATACAGCTAGACCACAGCTCAATTCGGACGAGCTGTAAATGTGAAATATATATTTTACGAAAATCAACTAGTCCCTCTAGACTTTGACTAGTCTCGGACTAACAGAATAGTGGCTATGTCTAACCCCATTAAGGTATATTTTGACTACTATGACTAAGAAATTCTCATCATTTCTTACCGTTGCAGTGATGCATACTGCAAATCTTGAAATTACTGTGAGCGTGAATTAAATGCGAAAAATGCGAGTGGTCTTTTTTAGCATTTATCTGTAGCTCCCAAATGACTATCAACAATAAGACAGCCTCACGGCACACTTTGGATAGCAGAAATACCAACTTGAATATGAATTTAAACACGAATACGGTTTATTGAGCAGCAGTAACAAGTGTATAACCAAGTCATTCAAAGAATAGGAATAGGTATCCAGAGAGTTATCACTGCTGGGTTCAAGAGTTCTTCCCACTCGTGTCAAACTAGTACTCCAGTAGTCCAGACAGACGCCATGTGAGGTACATTAACATGAATTTGATACCTGTTATTTAAGTAGTGTAAAATATTCATTTCCTAGTTTAAGAGAACCTTGATGAGTTGATCTCACACTGTTGTGCTGCTTGCTTTAGTTCCGGTGGCTTGCCCCGAGATTATCCTATCGACCAACACGCCCAACACCATCCAGGTTGAGTGGAAGGAGATGCTGCCGTCTCTGCGCAACGGCATCATCACAGAGTACGAGGTGCACTACAAGACAAAGGATGCGGGGGAGATGGTTGATGCAGTCGAGTCCAAGTCCTTCTACACAATCAGAGGTTTGTGATGAATTTGTTGTGTGCGACTTTAAATTTTAACTTGATACTCCACTTACTCATAAATTTGTCCTGATTACTTGGGAATATTTGTCTTACTTGGGAAACCGTAGCAACTGCAGATGTTACTTTGGTAACTGAATGGAATGTGGATGTTACTATGGAAACTGAAGGGGATGTTGATGTTACTATGGAAAATGAAGGGGAATACTGATGTTACTATGGAAACTGAAGGGGAATACCGATGTTACTATGGAAACTGAAGGGGATGTTGATGTTACTATGGAAACTGAAGGGGAATACCAATGTTACTATGGAAACTGAAGGGGATGTTGATGTTACTATGGAAATGTGAGCGAATACTGATGTTTCTATGGGAACGGAAGGCGATGTTGATGTTTCTGTGGAAACAAGGGGAATACTGATCTTACTATGGAAACTAAAGGAGATGTTGATGTTTCTATGGAAACTGAAAGGGATGTTGATGTTTCTATGGAAACTGAAGGGGATGTTGATGTTTATCTTGAAACTGAAGGGATGTTGAAGTTTCTGTGCAAACATAAGGGGATGCTGATGTTTCTGTGGAAACTGTAGGTACTGGAGATACTATGGAAACTGGATGGATTGTAGATGTTACTATGGAAACTGGATGGATTGTAGATGTAACTATGGAAACTGAAGGGACTGTAGATGTGTTACTATGGAAACTTAATGGATATCTCTATGGCGATGTGACATGTTACTGTTGCAGATGTACAGCCAGATGAGGAGTACTATGTTCGAGTTTTGGCTAGGACGAAGAAGGGCTATCCTGTTCTGTCCGATGCCCAATGGCCTTGGGTCTCCATCCGGACGTCCAGACTCATCTCCTCCTGTAAGTCTCATGGCCGCCATTCATACACAAATGTTGACAATCTTTCAACAATGTTTGCACAAACTTGAAATTGCTTCAAATTGAACACTGTTCAATTGTAAGTAGACCGCCTCCGTGGTCTAATGGTAGAGCGTCCGCCCGGAGAGCGGAAGGTCCGGGGTTCGATCCCCAGCCGCGTCATACCAAAAGACGTTAAAATATGGTACTTGTTGTTACCCTGTCTGGCGCTCGGCATTAAGGGGCTAAAACAAGGACTGGTCGGCTCGGAGTCAGTATACTGTGTCTGAGTGGGGTATTCATGTTAAAACTGCGGTATCTCAGTGTGCTAGCACTATAAATCGGCATCAGTCCGGACTAGTACAAGCAGCCACACACACACACATACACGTGCATGCACGTCGCTACATAAGTGCAATAATCTTGGACGCAACGTTAAACCCCATTTCACCTCACCTCACCTCAATTGTAAGTTTATTGATCAAGACATGAACAAGTGCTTGAAAGGGCTGTATTTGTGATGGACATAAACCTTATCTTGAAAGACGTACAGAAATATACCAAACATTTACTATAGGTCACACCTTTGACTAAGATAAATACTTTTGTCCTCAGCGAGTATTAGAGTAATAACCAGTCTACTACCAAACTGTTTGCTTCGCTCTCACTGTGATGTTACATTCACTTGTTAGAAGGTGTTTGGTGTTGTTAGCAGCGGCCATGAAGATCTGAGTAAGACTTGGTCTTCTGCAACCCATGCTTGTCGTAAAAGGCGACTATGCTTGTCGTAAAAGGCGACTACGCTTGTCGTAAAAGGCAACTGATGGGATCAGGTGGTCAGGCTCGCTGACTTGGTTGATGCATGTCATCGTATTCCAAATACTGATGATGTCAATCACTGGATTGTCTGGCCCAGACTTATTTTCAGACTTCACATAGCTGGAATATTGCTGAGTGTGGCGTGGCACAACGTACAGTCAATCAAAGAGTAAATAGCAAAAGTAGTCCACATGGTGAGTTGCCTCCATAAGTTGTTTCATAGACCTTTTGAACAGGTTAACTAGAAATGTGGTTTGATAGCTTGGATTTGGGTGTCACCATTCTAAGTGTCGAAGACCTGTATCACTTGGGGCCTTCCTCCCCAGGTGACAAGCTGTGATAGGACTAAATACTTTTCAAAGCAGTGTTAAACATAACTCACTTGCAATCCTTTTCCATTGTGTACAGTCCCGATGCCCCACCTCCACATTGTGCGTAAGAATGCCTCAGTGGTTGTTGTCAAGTGGGCCATTGACGATCAGCAGGGCAAGGTGGAGACGTACCAGATTCAGTTGAAGAACCTGCAGGATAAGGGCACTGTTCTACATACCGACACCATCACGGGACCAGCTGAACAATATGTCCTTACAGACCTAGGTAAGTACCCAGACAATATTTCCTCACTGACCTAGGTAGGTTCACAGACAATACGTCCTAACTGACCTAGGTAGGTACTCAGACAATACATCCTCACTGACCTAGGTAGGTTCACAGACAATACTTCCTCATTGTCCTTGGTAGGTACTCAGACAATACGTCCTAACTGACCTAGGTAGGTACCCAGACAATATGTCCTTACAGACCTAGGTAGGTACTCAGACAATACATCCTCACTGACCTAGAGAGGTTCACAGACAATACGTCCTAACTGACCTAGGTAGGTACTCAGACAATACGTCCTAACTGACCTAGGTAGGTACTCCGACAATACGTCCTCACTGACCTAGGTAGGTACACAGACAATACGTCCTCACTGACCTAGGTAGGTACACCGACAATATGTCCTTACAGACCTAGGTAGGTACTCAGACAATACATCCTCACTGACCTAGAGAGGTTCACAGACAATACGTCCTAACTGACCTAGGTAGGTACTCAGACAATACGTCCTAACTGACCTAGGTAGGTACTCCGACAATACGTCCTCACTGACCTAGGTAGGTACACAGACAATACGTCCTCACTGACCTAGGTAGGTTCACAGACAATACATCCTCACTGACCTAGGTAGGTACACAGACAAAACGTCCTCACTGACCTAGGTAGGTACACAGACAATACGTCCTCACTGACCTAGGTAGGTACACCGACAATACGTCCTCACTGACCTAGGTAGGTACACTGACAATACGTCCTCACTGACCTAGGTAGGTACTCAGACAATACGTCCTCATTGGCCTTGGTAGGTTCACGGACAATACATCCTCACTGACCTAGGTAGGTTCACGGACAATACGTCCTCATTGGCCTTGGTAGGTACTCAGACAATACGTCCTCATTGGCCTTGGTAGGTACTCAGACAATACGTCCTCATTGGCATTGGTAGGTTCACGGACAATACGTCCTCACTGACCTAGGTAGGTTCACGGACAATACGTCCTCATTGGCCATGGTAGGTACTCAGACAATACGTCCTCACTGACCTAGGTAGGTACTCAGACAAAACGTCCTCACTGACCTAGGTAGGTACTCCGACAATACGTCCTCACTGAACTAGGTAGGTAATCAGACAATATTTCCTCACTGACCTAGGTAGGTACACACAATACGCCCTGACTGACCTAGGTAGCTACACAGACATTGCATACTCACTGACCTAGGTAGGTTCACAGACAATACGTCCTCACTGACCTTGCCATGTCCTCACTGACGTAGGTGGTACATGGACAATACCTGTGCTCGATTCTCTACATGGGTGCACAATGTGAATCCCATTTCATTCAAACCCCATCCCTGATATTATTGGAATATTGCTAATAGCAAAGTAAAACCAACCTCTCTCCCTCAATGTTGTTACTGTCGTTGTTTCAGACAACAGCACAGAGTACGAAGTAACGATCACCGCAAGGGGAAATGGAGAATCATCTGGCCCCGTTGCCATGGAGTTCCGGACAACGGAAGATGGCCCTGTTTTTGCAGCCAAGGTTCTCAGCGCAAGGACGCTGAACAAGGCAACCATCTTGTTGACTTGGATGCAGCCCGGCTCACCGCACCGAATCAAGCAGTTCGACGTGTGCTACCAGATAGAGATGGGAAAAACCCAGACTTGCAAGAAGAGGTGTGTTTATCTTTCATACCTGTAATATTGCCCAGCCCCTTCCTTAAAGAGATCATGGCGTTAGACTATCATATGTCTTCGTTAACATATGGGAGTAACGATCACTTTGTGTTACGACTGTTGAAAGCCTATGTTAAAGTATTGCAGTCACGATGTGTCGAAAGCCTATGTTAAAGTATGGGAGTCATGATGTGTCGAAAGCCTATGTTTAAGTATGGGAGTCATGTGTTGAAAGCCTATGTTAAAGTATGGGAGTCACGATGTGTCGAAAGCCTATGTTAAAGTATGGGAGTAACGATGTGTTGAAAGACTATGTTAAAGTATTGGAGTCACAATGTGTCGAAAGCCTATGTTAAAGTATTGGAGTCACGATGTGTCGAAAGCCTATGTTAAAGTATGGGAGTCATCATGTGTTGAAAGCCTATGTTTAAGTATGGGAGTCATGATGTGTCGAAAGCCTATGTTTAAGTATGGGAGTCACAATGTGTTGAAAGCCTCTGTGAAAGTATGGGAGTCACGATGTGTCGAAAGCCTATGATAAAGTATGGGAGTCATGATGTGAATCGCGGCACCTTAGACGACTGGGCAACCCATGCCCCCGCTGGTCATAAGAAGTGAAAGTGACTTGGTTGATTGTGTGTCATTGTAGCCTGACGACGTGGATCGATGTTCATAATATCGATCACAAGATTGTCTGGTCCAGACTCTATTATTTACAGGCTGCTGTCATATAGCAGGAATACTGCTAAGTGCGGCGTTAAACAACAATTAAATCAAACAAAACAGTAAATCTTTGTTTGTTGAACAACGTTGAGTTGCCAAATTATGTTTTTAATAGGGGATTGTGTGGCCTAGTTGTCAAAGTTGCCACAATGCACTGTGCGATCGTGTAAGACGTGCATGGATTATGATACTGTGGTGTTACATCTCAATCCAACCATGAAGATCCAGGGTAGAATAGGTCTTCAGTTACCCATGCTTGCCGTAAAAGGCGATTATGCTTGTCATACGAGGCGACTAACGGGATCGGGTGGTCAGGGTCGCTGACTTGGTTGATGCATGTCATCGTGTCCGAATTGCGTGGATCAATGCTCATGTTGTCAGTCACTGAATTGTCTGGTCCAGACTCGATTAATTACAGACCACAAAAAATCATATAGCTGGAATATTGCTGAGGTCGGTGTTAAACAAAAAAAACAAAACAAATAAAACATCTCACTCCCCCCTCTGTTGTTTCCAGCCTGTCCCCAAGTGTCAGCATTGCCGGACTGAAGCCGTTTACCAAGTACAAGTTCACTGTACGTACGCACTTCCAGAACAACGATGTCAAGGTCAGCAGCCCGCTCATTGCTCAGACTCAGGAAGACAGTAAGTGTTTCGCCTAGGGCTGTTACCATGGTTACGATTCACTCACGTATTCGGTGAATCGAGCCGTATCCATTCACGAATTGAATTCGTTTTTCGTGGTCACTAGAATCGAATATTCATGAATATGCAGTTATATGCATTTACATACCCTGACCCTTAAAATATCCATAAGAACATATTATATGCATACATTTCTTGAGTGAAAGTATTTTAGTCACTGGTCATTGTCGCATTTGAACAGACACTAGTACCTGGATAAGTGAAGTATATTAATGTATAATAAATTAATAATTTACAAGCCATGTCAAATAATTAATTTTGTTATTGTTTCACTGAATATCATAAATAATACATCAACTGCTGAATAAATTTTCGTATTCGTTACCCTATATTCATTATACGAATCATATTCGCCTTATAGTGGATGAAAGTAATTTGACCTTTGGTTTCATGCTGGATGACCGTATTTATTTGTGAAAAACATTGGGTTCTGCCTGTTATGTCTTTGTTTGGCACAGCATTTGTTTTTGACTTTAGTAGTCAGTGAAAAATATTCTCTCTAACAAAATTCCCAGGCTCCATGTCCTCAAGTATTAGTGGCGGGTCGTCCCTCTCTGTCAACTCGGTCTTTATGCTACAGCTTCTAAATGCAAGTTAAATGAATGTAATGCAAGGGAGATAACTCTGTGTCTCTCCTCCAGTCCCCAGTGCACCCACCAACATCACGTGGATCGTGGTGTCTCCGGGCACTGTGGAGCTTCACTGGAAGCCTCCAGCCTCCCCCAACGGCGTCATCACATCCTACATCATCTTCTACAACAACAACAACAAGGTTCCTGACACCATGTGGCGCAACCTCACCCAGACAGGTAAGACCCTTGCCCAAACCTCACCCAGACAGGTAAGACCCTCGCCCAAACCTCACCCAGACAGGTAAGACCCTTGCCCAAACCTCACCCAATCAGGTAAGACCCTCGCCCAAACCTCACCCAGACAGGTAAGACCCTCGCCCAAACCTCACCCAGACAGGTAAGACCCTCGCCCAAACCTCACCCAGACAGGTAAGACCCTCGCCCAAACCTCACCCAGACAGTAGTTAGAAACAGTGCATTAAAAACATGTTTTGTTTGAAATCTTTTAAGCAAAATCTTTTAAAAAATATCATTTGTACCATTAAGATGTTTTTATTAACTGGTGCATCAATATTTTAGAAAACCTGGGTTAGATTCCCCACAATATTACAGAGCGTGAAACATTGTGTTTGAAATAGCGCCCGTCTGTTAGCCCTAGGCCCGTAAATCTTACGTCGGGCACATAGTTTAAAATTTGTATGGGTCCTTATAACCTGCAGTAAATTTACGTGTCAATTTATATGTCACAATAAGCTGCAGTTTTTTAGAATGAGGATCTGAAGAGTTTGGTCAGGGCCTGCAGCTTCTAAAGTCTGTGGGTCCTGATGGCAGCCACACAATTTTGCTTATTTCAAGTACTGTCGTAAAGCCCTTGTGTCCTCACTGTTTATCTTGCTGGAAATTAAAAACAATCTCGCCCAAGTAGACAAAAACAAACTAACCCAAGTAGATGAAACGATCCAAGAAGATCAGCTGGTCAGTTTCAAGAAGAGTTCTTTCAAAAGTCAATAACTCATTGCAATAGAAATGACCTTGACCCCTGATGTTTGTGTGCAGGGGGGCTGACACAGGCTACCGTGGATGAACTGACTGCCGCCTCCTACTTCTTCAAACTCCGAGCGTGTACCCGAGCAGGTCAAGGTCGTCCGTCACAGATCGTCGTGGTCTACCCGAACATCAAATGCACTAGCCAGACTCAGCAGCAGGAGCGATGCCGACCAGACACCATCGTCGGACCTGGTGCAAACACAGGTCAGTAGCAGTGTGTCAACGGAATAATCCTTGAAGACACGAAACTTCAGTACCCTGAAATGTTGTTACAAACAATTAAGTTGATCCGCAAGAGTTGCATCTGTTCATTGCCCTAATTTTAAGACCACCTCTGTGGGTTCGATCCCCAACTGTGTCATACCAAAAGATGTTAAAAGATGGTACTTGTTGTTACCCTGTCTGGCGCTCGGTATTCAGGGGCTAAAACAAGGACTGGTCGGCTCGGAGTCAGCATTCTGTGTCTGAGTGGGGTATTCATGTTAAATTGCAGCATGGTATCTCAGTGAGCTAGCACCAAAATCTGCATCAGTCCTGACTAGTACAAGCAGCCCCACACACACACACACGTGCATGCACGTCGCAATATAAGTGCAATAATCTTGGACGTGACGTTAAAGTGGTAGAGCGTCCCAATTTCACTTCACATCACTGAATGACTTGGGGCTAAAAATAGCGAGGGAAATTCTGTGCTCAGTTTGTGAATAGAGAGATGGTGACGTTACTTCTGGAATGGTGCAATAGTGGAAATGGGACGGTGGTACTGGTCATAAGTGAGTGAATAAGTTAGGGTGTGAAACCAATGTTGAGATTTGATTGATGTGAAATTGTTATTTCAGGTCGACGAGACAAACAGCTGGGAATAATTGTTGGTGTCACCATCGGCATTGTCTGCATCGTCATCTGCATTGTCGTCATTGTTTTTCGCAACAGGTAGGTGTGAGAGTCTCTCTGTAGGGAGTCGGGGAGGTGGGGTAGCCCAGTGGTTAAAGTGTTCGCTCATCACGCTGAAGACCTGGGTTCGATTCCCAAAATGGGTTCAATGTGTGAAGGCCATTTCTGGTGTACACGCCGGAATATTGCTAAAACCTGCCTAAAACCATACTTACTGTAGGGAGTCAGAGTTGCTTCCCTTTCGTGTTCCATGGACCTATGATTGTGGGTGTAAATCCATTTTTGTAAGTTCATCAACACCATATGTGTGCTTGTGGGTTTCTAAGTCTTTATCTGTGAAGAGCTGGTTAGAATAGGCCTTTAGCCAGACATGCTTGCCGTAAAAGGCAACTATGCTTGTTGTTAGAAGCGAATTACGGGATCGGGTTTTCAGGCTCGCTGACTTGGTTCATGCATGTCATCGTATCCGAGTTGCATATAGATTGATGCTCATGATGTCAATCACTGGATTGTCCGGTCCTGATGTGGTTGTTTACACACAGCTGTTATAGTTGGAATATTTCTGAGTGTGGCGTTAAACAACAAGTAGACACTGTGTATCATCATACCCCAACAATATGGATCAGTGCTTGTGCTGTATCATGGTCAAGCACTTGTCTGCGATGATGCAGCCTCATTGTTGCACACTGGTGTTAACAAGATTAACTCCCTGTGTGACATCGAAACCCTTACAAGTACTCATTCTGTATGAGTGAGTGATCGAGTGAGTGAGTTTGGTTTAACACGACTTTTAACAGTATTCCAGTTATATCGCGGCGTGTCAGCTTAATGTGGGAGGGGAGCACGAAGTGATGCAGGTTTCAGTCACTTACCACTTTGGTGAAACCCACGAGCATGGGTATGGTGCTGACAAACCTAGAAATGTATCGGGGCGAACCGGGATTCACACCCACAATCATAGGTTTCTGGTGTGCCCAAGGGACGCAACTCTGCATAGCGTATGACAGTGGAGCACTGGTTTGTGATGATGACACAGCTGGAATGTAGCACAACACTGTGTCTTATAACAACATTCACTAACTCACGAGCAATCGTTCCTCTCTGCACTTTTAAAAGAAAAAATATGAAAAGAACAATTTATTAGTTTGCTCTTGTTTTCCCGATTACAGTGAGATTTGTCAGTATGCTTGACCTTTCTCTGTGTCGGTACTTTTGGCGACCTGGCACTGCTGATTGGATGTTTTTCTTTACAGATGTTTCAGATCCCGCGAACCTCCGCCTATTTACCATGGTAACGGCCACCTTCCAGGCCATGGCAATGGTCATGCTGTCCACGTGACGACCAACCGCCTCTCGGTGCCGAGCTCGGATATCGAGGCTCTCACACCTATGTTAAACTCACTGCAAGAGAACACTGAGTCGGATTCTAAGGTACGAATAGAAAGTTGGGTGTGGCATCCGCCGCATGAAAAAGTCATTCAGTTGCTTCTTAAGTTATTTAATCAGAAAATTGGTTTGAATAGGCTCCCAGAACTGTATTTCTAGTTGCAAGTTTTGGATCAAGTGGACAAGGTTGGTTGTTTGAGTGTCATCAAATCCAGAAGGTTTGGGACATTGATCTTGGGGAATATGTACAATCATATTTCATGCATCTTCCCGAGGCAAGAGAGTTAACTGACTTGAAAAGTCCAGTTTCCACCCTTGCCGAACTAGACTGGAATTCCTGGGTTATGTCCCTTCCATGCCTCTCCTATGGACCAATCAGATTCAACCTGTCGTATCACTTGCATTTGCTTCAAACAAAATGGTGGTCCCAGTCAATACGATATGAATGATAACCAAGATCTATTTTGTGATGAAATGAGTCGTACATCTCTAAGTGCATCAAATCATGTGAACACCTTGATTAAAAACATGAAAAGATTTAGAAAATGCCTGTTGACAACGAGTTGGCGGTGCACATGCTTTGCAAATCCTGCAATCGACAGAAATCGGTATTACGGTTTACGAATCGGATTTCGATTTCGTTGCCCGATTTTGATTGGACTATGCATAGACTCATTTGTCCAGCCAGAATGTAACTCCATAATACCAGCCTAGTTTGGCTTTTATAGTCAGTTTACTCCCTTGCCTCGGGCAGATGTATTTCATGGGGCCGGTGCTCTTGTTGTGACGTTGACACATGTTCTGTTTTAGGGAGATCGCAGTGTTAGAAATAAGAAAGATTGTCTGGCTGCCATCAGGACCAACTATCTTTAGAACCTGCAGGCCCTGACCAAACTCTTCAGGCCGTCGTTTAAAAAATGGACTTTCACATGTATTGATGCACTAGTCAATAGAATCATTGGTACAAATGAATACTTATCAAAAACATTTTGCTGAACCAGTTTTGAAAAAAATATTTTTTGAATCCACTATTTTTAACCAATGTCTGGGTGAGGTTTGGGTGAGTGTTTTATCTGTCTGGGTGAGGTTTGGGCCAGTTTCTTACCTGTCTGGGTGAGGTTTTGGAGATTGTCTTATCTGTATGGGTGAGGTTTGGGAAAGTGTCTTATCTGTCTGGGTGAGGTCTGGGAGATTGTCTTATCTGTCTGGGTGAGGTTTGGGAGATTGTCTTATCTGTCTGGGTGAGGTCTGGGAGATTGTCTTATCTGTATGAGTGAGGTTTTGGAGATTGTCTTATCTGTCTGGGTGAGGTTTTGGTGATTGTCTTATCTGTATGGGTGAGGTTTGGGAAAGTGTCTTATCTGTCTGGGTGAGGTCTGGGAGATTGTCTTATCTGTCTGGGTGAGGTTTGGGAGATTGTCTTATCTGTCTGGGTGAGGTCTGGGAGATTGTCTTATCTGTCTGGGTGAGGTTTGGGAGATTGTCTTATCTGTCTGGGTGAGGTTTTGGAGATTGTCTTATCTGTCTGGGTGAGGTTTCGGAAAGTGTCTTATCTGTCTGAGGTTTGGGATAGTGTCTTATCTGTCTGGGCGAGGTTGTGCCACATGGTGTCGGGAACCTTGTTGTTGTAAAAGATGATGTAGGAGATGGGGAGACTCAGGGCTTCCAGTGCAGTTCCGCTGTGCCCGGAGACATGAGATCCACCTGCCACGGGCCTACAGGCAGGCACATTTTGAAAATTTGGGGATGGTACGCTGATTGTAAAGACCCAACTCATCGCCTTCTGTGTTTTGTTTCAGGGGGGTGGAACACTGATCGTGACGCCGAACGGCGTGCGAATGAACGGGATCAGTCAGAGTTTGCAGAATGGACATGTGCCCAATGGTCATGTGACCAGGCGAGAGGGTAATGTGCATCTTGGCAACCGGGGCAGCTCAGAGGTAAGGACTGTTGCTATGGTTACTTGCAGGGGTTCTGTTACTATGGTTATGGAGCATGTTGCTCCAAATATCTAAGATGCCTCTATTTGCTAGGCAGAGTTTCACCCCTTTGATTATGGGTTCGAAAACCGGGTCTCACTGATTATTTTTGTTTGTTTACCAGCACCATAACCCTGTTCTTGGGTTTCACCAAAGTGGTAAACGTCGACAACCTCCATCACTCAGGGTTTTCCTCCCCCGTCAAGCTGGCATATATTGATATAACTGGAATACTGTTCGAAGCAGCGTTACTTAGTGCTAAGATTACTTTGTGCAATGGGCCCCAGGTTAGAACTGCTAGTTACGATCGTCTTAGCACTAAGAATACTTTGTGGAATGGGCCCCAGGTTAGAACTGCTAGTTACGATCGTCTTGGCACTAAGATTACTTTGTGCAATGGGTCCCAGGTTAGAACTGCAAGTTACGATTGTTTTATCACTAAGATCACTTTGTGGAATGGGCCCCAGGTTAAAACTGCTAGTTACGATCGTCTTGGCACTAAGATCACTTTGTGGAATGGCCCCAGGTAATGTTAGAACTGCTAGTTATGATCGTCTTGGCACAAAGATCACTTTGAGGAACAAGCCCCAGGTAATGTTAGAACTGCTAGTTATGATCATCTTGGCACAAAGATTACTTTGTGGAATGGGCCCCAGGTTAGAACTGCTAGTTACGATCATCTTGGCACAAAGATCACTTTGAGGAACGAGCCCCAGGTAATGTTAGAACTGCTAGTTACGATCGTCTTGGCACAAAGATTACTTTGTGGAATGGCCCCAGGTAATGTTAGAACTGCTAGTTACGATCATCTTGGCACAAAGATCACTTTGAGGAACGAGCCCCAGGTAATGTTAGAACTGCTAGTTACGATCGTCTTGGCACAAAGATTACTTTGTGGAATGGCCCCAGGTAATGTTAGAACAGCTAGTTACGATCATCTTGGCACAAAGGTCACTTTGAGGAACGAGCCTCAGGTAATGTTAGAACTGCTAGTTACGATCGTCTTGGCACAAAGATTACACTTTGGAATGGCCCCAGGTAATTTTATCAATTGGAGTAAGATCGTCACAGGATCCAGGTTTGATGTAAGTGTTTCCCTCAGATGATGCAATGTTGACTTGTTTGTTTCTACAAAATGTCTGTGTTTTCCTTTCAGGAGCATCATGGGCTCATTGCTGCCATCCAGGCCTCGTCTGAGAGTAGCCCTGGATCCACTGGCCGGGAGATGTCCACATACGCGGGGGAAAGTCTGGAGGAGATTGACGGGAGTCTGGAGGACGAGAGTCAAATGACATCTGTTGTCACGGCACCCAATGGGGAGGCAGCCATGTTGAAGGTGACCGCCAGTGAAGGGGGAGACAAACCCCGTATCTCTCCATCTCGCCGCGGCAACGGCGGCACAGGGGCAGCTCAGGCAGCATCTTCATCCCCAACACTCAGGAACAACGGCAGCGGCGGCGGCGGCAGCAGCAACGCAGCTGACAGCACTACCTCATCTCACCTGCCAAGCAGCAACACAACCTTGAGGCGGGATCAAGGTCAAGGTCACGAGGACCTACCTCCAACCCCTCCTCCACCTCTCGCAAGCAGCACCCAGAGCAGTACCTCTACTCAGGAATGTCCGGAGGCCCCGGGGACACATGTTGACAGTCTGCCCCCAAGAGTCGGGGCAGGGATATTACCTCATATGTTTGTACGTGATGGGACATGGGCAGGTTTAGAGCAATCTGACTCCGTGGTGTAGTGGTGTTGCACCACCCTGGCTAATGATAAACTTGTGTTGTCTACAGACCGACCTCATTCATAACGTGGCAACCGCCCACTCACCCACCTTCCGTCTCTCTGTCACCTGCAGTGGCAGGATACATGAACAGACGAACAGAGCCACAGAGGGTGGGTGTGGTGCCTGCGGCCACGATGCGATGTACTACTATCTTCCTGTGATGCGGGTATTATATATACACACTTTTTTACTTCTCCTTTTAAGAGTGATCAAGTGGCAAACGTGAACAGATGATACCTCATTTTTAACTACCAACAACTTCTGGAACTGTTGCTATGGAAACAGATCATCTCCTCAGAGACTTGTTTTATATTGTACCTCTTCAGCTGTTTCCATGGCGATGTGTCATGGGGCAGCCAACAGCAATTCATTTGGACTGAGGTGCAAAGGGTAATGTTGCCAATGGTGTTGCTATGGACATGATGGGTGTTGCTAAGCTCAGGTCAACTGTTGCCATGGAGACTGAAGGTATAGTGTGGACTATGTGATGCACGAGGATGGGGAAAGGGCAGCTCCTTCTACCTCGATACGGCTATGTATGTATACAGAGCTTTTGAACTTCAGGATCAGCATTGCCCGTGGTTGAGGCCACGGGATCTTCAGGGCCTGTGGTCGAGGCCACAGGATCTTCAGGGCCTGTGGTCAAGGCCACAGGATTTTCAGGGCCTGTGGTGTGGTCCACACTACACAATCACCACCAGGACTACGGTGTTCCCATGCCACACTACCATCGGACTCAAACCACTGCTGCAAAAGACCTGCAAGGGACGTACGGCGGCAGCTAGCGGTGTCGTATCCTACGTGTTTTTCGTCAACGGTTGCAGGAAGAGGCTGCTGCCATTGCTCCTCCTCCTCCAGACAGACGGCAGCTCATTGGGGAACTCAACTCATAGTTGTAGTGTATTCCATTTTTGCTATATGACAGTATTTTACTAAACAAATCATGTTACGGTCAAATAAGGTCTAGTTGTCGCTGCTCCTGTCAGGAACGATCCTGCTCTGTGTCGTCGCGTGTGAGGACTCGTCGACATTGGAGCCATCATTGTGTTTTGTGTATGATGTCACTTCCTGTTTGGAACTGGTACTACTTTTTGTGTATGATGTCATGACTTCCTGTGTGGAAGCTGTTTTATGTGTATGATGTCACTTCCTCCAGTGGGACATGCTAGTTACCTCATAAGTATCTACCTCACTTCTGCAGTGGCGGCGATGTGCTGTGGGCGAGCGTGGAGGGGAAGCAGAGATGGTGACATGGTGGGCGTTGTCTTGAACTCGGTCTATCTCAGGGAGTATCTAAGTCACTATAAACCGCGAGTCAAAAACTGACGCCTCACTTTGTCCACAGCTGCAGCTGCCACAGGTCGTCGCCATAGCAACTTGGCTGATTAGTCACCTTGCACCCGATGAAGGTGAAGGTCGACTAATAGCCGGTGCGTACCTCGAAGAGACTGACCTGCATCTGGTGGCCGACCATGACTGTCGACTACAACAGCAACATCTCCGGCTGACGCTGTTGCGGGATGTCAATGTCAACCGTCTGCTGATTTAACTAGAGTGGGTCAGAATCTGCTAACTATACCTCGGGAGGGGGCGGAATGTTAGTTTCCATGGTTACTGTCATACCAATCTATATCAGCGTAGTCTTCACGGAGGGGACAAACACGTGGTGGGAGCCAGGGCGGGGTTGGGATCCGGTCTGAAGCAACTACCTCTGACGTACCTACCGGTTTATTTACAACCATGGTATGCATGCTAAAAACCACATGCAAAACTCACTATAGAACCCAACATAACTCAACACAGACCAACCTCACCATGTTGGTTTAGCGTAGTCGGTGAGAGGGGGGGGGGGGGGGGGGGGGGGGGGGAGTCACAGCTGCATCAGGGGGAGGGGGGAGGGTGTGTTTGTGTTGTCACTAGCTGATGGCAAGACTTGCTGTTGTGGGCTGAGTTTGTTTCGTGTTCCGCGAGGATCTTTCACGCTCAAGAAAAACCACCATTAGTGTCTTTATATTAGATTATGAGAAACTCAAATCCAAATTTATTTTATAGAAAACAATTTTCTAGTTTCTATGGCAACTGTACTTTAGGGGGGGAAGGAATCTTTCCCTGGGAAAATGTAGCAACAGCAAGAAATTCAAGCTGATGACACACAGACAGACATAGCCATATTTGGCTCTCAGTGTTACTTAAACATGGCAGCATTTCTCATCTTCAGGTCTGTGTTTTAAACCAAATGGCGATGCAGTTTTTAATTTTTTTAGAAAACTGATAATTTTTCCAATATGTTTACCATTATATACCTCATCACAACTCGGGTTTCATAACCCTTCACCCCTTTGCTATGTTATTGGTACAATCCTGGAATATAAGAGGGAGCGTACACTCCAACATAGAGGGGTGACAGGTAACTCATGGCAGGAATTGTTGGTTATTTTCATTAGTTTTATGATTTCACATCAGCGATCCCTGGCTCCCCCATCGTGTGATTCTGTAAATAACCTTGTCCCCCATGTGACAACGGAGATGCACCTGATATGCATGTCTTGTGTTCACTGTTCAGCAGCAAGGATTGTCGAGTGGGTGTGTCTCCCGCTCTCTTCCTCGCCCACACTACTCACCCCCAAGAGTAGGTGGTCGAGGAATGGGGAGGGACTGCCGCCATTCAAACCTCAGCTGGGAAAGGGAGGCAACTCTATATAAACTGAAAATGTACATGTTGTATGAAAATATGCCAATATCTTCTTCGATTTGTGTTACCTCCAGTTTTGTCCAAGCATATTATTCCAATCTGACGAATGTTGGTTGATTAGATGCAGTTGCCTCCCCCGCCAGAGAATCGATCAAGCTCCTCACAGCGATAGCCCGTTTGCTGAGCTCTCTTTACTATCGCTGCCACCAGTCAAAACTCCCCACTGTGAATAGGTGGCCCCAAGCATGTTTGGAGTTGAACTCGCAACCGAATGACCGTTATGTTTACAAAAAGTGACGACTGTCGTGACGCCGAATACACTTATCGCTGCTAAATTACTTTCTTCGTCTGTCAATTTGAATTTCTGTTTCATTAAAACATTCGTGTTGTATATATAGTAAGAATGTAAGAGAGAAGTTGGTTGATTTCTGTTAGTCTACAATCTCGAACCAATCTGATTATGCAAACAACAAAGTAGATTCATCTGGAAAATATGGTCAGTCGTAAACCTTTTCAAAATGAAATATGATGGCATTCCCAAAGACATAAACAAAAGTATAAACGTTACTACATTTGGGGTTAGAGGGCAAATTTCAAGATTCTTGTAATGGCCCCGCCCACACTGGTGGCAGCGATGTTACGGAGAGTGTAACGAAGGTGTCACGCGCTGGGAAGGAGCTTGAGAATCGATTTTTAAATGTGTCTGTTGTAGGATTTCTATGTAAAGCGTGTACGGTGTTTTAACGTATTGTACAGGCACTTGCTAAGCTGATTTATAATAATAATAATAATAACAATAATATTGAATTATGTACGTGGCAAGACAATTAGTAATGTATACATTCTTACTGTTTTCTCCCCTGTCTTATTGTTTGTGATAACTTTGTGAGACCGGTGAAATCTCTGTACTATTTTCTTTGGACAACAAATGTAGTAAACATTTCTGCATCTGATGGATGTGTATTTGAACAAGCGACGGGTTGTTCTCGGTGTGGTCGCTATAGTCGTACTTCAGGAGATGGTTGTTGTAGGTTAACCCCCTGTGGAAAATATCCCATAATTGTCTTGCCACCAGCGTGTTGACCATATAAGGAAGGACTTGTATTCTACAATTAGTGGCTGTGACGGTACCTCATGTTTGGTGCTGCCACCTGCAGGGCTAGCTGTTGGTGCGCACCCTGTTGGTGGCTTAGAGAGTTTACTTGGTTTGTTGCCATAGTAACAAGACCTGCTCTCTGCGGAAGGGTACAGTTTCTTCAGAGTGTATGGTGTAATGGTTCCTTCCAATTTGAAGAATTAATGGTGACAAAAAAGTCTGAAGAGCGATTTGTAACGCGGAAATGTTAACTGGCACATGAAAATGCATGTTCCACTTTTTTAGATTTTTGGCAAACTGGCCACAATAATGAAATTAAGTTTTGTTTGGCATGAAATAATCGAGCAGAAAAAGACATCTTGCGTCTTCATTGCGCGTCAGTAAAATTGATAGATCATATTGCAAAGAACAAAGATTTACAGCAGAACCAAAGAACTTAATTTTACTAAAGTCTCATATTAGAAATAATAATAATAATGTGTGATTTTGTTTCTTTTATTTGACAGAATAAGAAAAATTTCACAGGTGTCCATTTTTGACAAAGGGATTTAATACCGTCAAAAACGATTTTATTAAAATCTTGAAGTGTATTTTTCTGTCAACAAGCGGCTTGGCTACCCCACCCTACTACACTTATATGCTCTGAGGAAACTTTGCATGCATGAAATTCAGCTCTATTATGTTACCTATTGCCATGGTTACGGTTTAGCGAATACATTTTTTGAAACAGAAAATAGCAACATTGAAAACCTGTCCAAGGATTACTATGAATTCAATTTTAAAATCTCTTTTTAACTGATTTTAGCGTTTTAACGGTTGCCCCCTTATTCGGGCTTATTTTATATACACATGCATTTGTACGGGATGTTTTGGCATTGAGCGGAACCTGCAGAGTACCTGTTCTTCGTTGGAGCCACTTGGCTCTGCCTACGGAAATTGTGGACTGATCCAGTTGTTTTCAATGTGGAACACTGTTACTCAGATCATCAAAACATAGTGCTATAGATATTTAACTTATACGAGTAATAGTTTTAAACTATTATGTTGATATTATATTATGGAACCTTTTTAACTATTGTTCCCAAGGTCCTTTGGACTGATTGATTTTGTGAAGTTATTGTTGATATTTGTCTTCAGGACGATATTGTTGAGCTAAGATAAAACTGTCTAGCTAGTGTCTATGTTATTGTAACAAGTATTGACAATTGATATGGTCAGAGTTGTCTCCCTTATCTGGTTCTACAATGCCAAGGTTACTAATGGATTTTGAATCGGTAGTACAGGTTTTGACTAAATAACTGCATTTTTGTGTGACTATTTTTGAAACAAAAGAGCATTTACTCTTTGTGCTGACAGACTTACAACAATCAGCTGGACAACACGTTTGGACAAATGTGATACTACCTCTATTAAATACTGGTATTTTATTTTGTTTTGACTCGGGAAGCCAGATTCTTGACTTTGACTGGACTCGGTATCTTACCTCTGCTGGCGAAGTATGCTCCCCAACATAAGCTAAGGACCACAACTTTGACTAAACAGGACTATTTTAGCCCTTAGCAAATGTTGAGTAGTATGTCTAACCTCTACAACTCTCCAATCCACTTAGCAAAAGAAACCATTTGAAGATTGATGTTTGCTAGAGAATACCATGTGCCATATTGTTGATGTCTTGCAGAGAGGAGAGCAGGAAAGGTTGCATTGTTGAACAATGTTTGTATGCCTACTGATGGTATTCCAGCGAATTTTTCCTCAAATTCTTCCATGTTAACTTTTGTCTTGTTGAAAGTCGCCAGCAAAGCATACACTGAAATATTCAAAGGCCATGTGTGTCATCCTTAAATTATGTCCCTGTGAACAATACTGCTGGATCTGTAACCTGCTTTCTTCTCTGTAGGAGATGCAACACCTTAAGGAGTAGAACCACTGGTGTGATACATTAGTTATCGACCTTGTATTGCCTTGTGGACTGCTGCTTAATTTCTAGTGCTATAGTTATGTTTAATTGAAATTTTGCCAAACAGATTATTTTGGGGCTACTGTGGAGTGAGTGAGGGAAGGGTTTGCTCTGCTCTTGACTGTATCAGTGTTGTGTCTAACCACTACCTCCTCCTGATTGTAACTATTTGGTTTAACCACACATACACTGATAAAGTTAAGGGCTTGAGCATTTGCTGCTTAGGGGATGGGATCATGGATAATGGCCTGTTTATTTGTTGGGAGGTGGGGTGGTTGGGGGGTTGGAGGGCAGGTAGGGAACCTTGTCCTATATTGTTCTGTTGTAGGGTAAGTCATGTAAGGGATTTATACCAAAACGGTAAGGTGGGTATGCCAGACTATAATAACCTGACCGGGTAGATTTTGTGATCAAAGGGGATGGGTGGGGATATTTCAATACTGAATACAATTTATGTCAACTGGTTTTTAATCGGTGTGACTTGCCATCAACCACCCAGTCTGTTCATCCTGAAGCAGAACATTTCAAAATAAAATGTTCAAAATTAACATGAAAGCACAACAAATGACTTAGTTTATACTGACAAAAATAAACCTTTTGACAATTATCAGTAATATCTCCAGCTTATGTTTTTGAAACGTTAAATGATATTTATTAAGGCAAATGTTTATTTATAGATTCCTTAAGACTATAACACTGGTATGAATGTAATATATGCCCCTCATTAACTCCACAGAAAGCTAACTTCCAGCTTCCTTATTGGTTCCTCCATAAAAGGCTGAAATATGTGTTCTAATTGGTGGGTTATCTCCCTTGGATATTTCAGGACCGTGATCTGAATTTTTCTCAACGTATTTAAGCGTTTATTTGAAATCGTTCAGTGATACATTTCCAGCGTTACGTTACCTCAGAAATCAGCAAACTATAAAAACAAGCTGGATCTTCTATCCTTCGTCCTTCATTACAAGGGGGAGATAACTCAGCTTGTGTTCAAGTTGGGAAGCCATTGTTTCAGTGTAATTTCTGCAAACCTGTACCTCGAGCATGCAGCAGGAGCTGATCTGCTGCACCTTGGCTGACGGACGGACGGAC